TGTAGTTCACCCTGTTCGCCGGAGAGATGGCGCCACCAGTCCAATTTCTTTAAAATTCGATTTTACGGCTTAATTTACTATAGTATGCATTCCGAAGATAATGAGACTTGCACTCCGATGTAATTTGATGCATATTATAGTAAATTAAGCCGTAAAATCGAATTTTTAAAATATGGCACTAGTGGCGCCATCTCTTCGGCGAACAGGTTGAACTACACACTTTTGAAACTCTACTTTGATTAGTTCCTACATAACTAAGCGGCGCCACGTGTATCGTTTCGCATCAATTCAATTATAATTTATTTTATTGGCTTATTTATCTTCAATATACATTAAATTACAGCGGAGAGCAAAAATAATTAACTTTGGAATGTTTTGATTATCAATTTTTGACGAAACTGACTTTTTAACGATAGTTACCTAGAATCCTGACATGTTTCTGCGCTGAGGTACTAGATGATGCTATTAGATTATTTTATATAGTCGTTCCAAAATATTGTGGGGTCTTATTACTGCACTTGTCAATAGCTTTTTCTTGACAAATTCCTGTCTTGACCGCTTGTTGATAGGAATTTGGATGTCATGTATATGTTACACAAAAAAATTATTCTTTTTCAATCAGTTCTTGTGATAAATCTGTACGGAGTAGCAATAATAACTGCTCATCTTTATTTGTTCGTTTATTTCGACATTTCAAGATGTATGGACAATTATTACATAATAATTATATATATTTATATATGTATAATGAGAGAGCATTCTCCTCTCGCAACGTTTCCTTACTCGTCCCCAAAAAAATCCCCCTTCCTTGTTTCTTTCTCTCCCTCTCTCACACTCATTCTTCCTTGCTTACGTTTTCTCTTTCTTTCATCCCTTTCTGTCTCGTTTGTTTCCTTCACGATAAAAGAATGAAAAGGTAAAAGTAAGAAAGAAACGGCGTTGGTTCGTCGAATCTACGAATGATTTTACGAAACGATTTATTTGTTCTTTTTTTTTTTGTTGGGTGTATTATTTGTAAACAATCATTAACGATGATTGCACAACCTTGACTCCCATTGTGTTTCCCTCATTTTCTTTCCGCCTTTCATCAACGTCTTCTTATTATCATTTAGTGTTTATCGATAAGATTATGATCGTTACCATTTAATCAGTTACAATTACGATAATAACACTAGTGTTTTTTAGTTAGTCTCGCATTTGTTCCGCCCACTCATCTACCCCCACCACGCGGCCACCTACTCCCAGCCAGGAACTTTGGCGCCAAATTCAAATATCGAATTACAATTAATTTAAGCGTACGTAAGCTGTTCATTTCTTTCTCCTACTATTTTCTCTCTATCGATACAAATATTTATCGACCTCCGTGCGAACACATTTTCTATTAGTTTCTTTCTTTTTTTCTGTTATCTCTCCTTTTCATTCTTTCTCCTATTTACGTACTCGTAATTTTTATTCTTCGTCTTCGTGAAAAATATTATTTCGCTTTTGTTATTTATTTTTTCCTTCGACTATACTGTTTCTCTTCTATGATGATCAAGCAATCGTTCGGTGTCGTATGTGTCTTTCGTCGTAAGGCAAGAAACGTGTTTTTCTCAATTGTGCACAAATTTTCAAAGATCTTTTTACAAATCCCTGAATTTCTCGTTCGACAAATGAAATTTATTAAAAAAGGAAATATATAACGAAAAGAAGGATAATTAAAATTATAAACGTCGATAAATGGCTCTCCGAAACATTCTCGAGAAACTAGGGAAACTTCCGATAAAGATTAGGGAAAAGAGCCGAGAAGAAACAAATGTCAACAGAATCACTGCTATAACACTTTAATTCATTATCCTAGTCGATTATAATTATTCGAATACAATTTCCAGCCTCGAAATTGCACAACTTCCTGTTACAATTTTTAGTTCAATCAATTTACAGAGCTTAATCGATGGGCAGTTGGCAAATTTAGAAATTTAGTCGCTGCCTTTTCTTTGGTCAAATGAAACCGATTTTCAACCGTCTGAAAATAAATTGAACGCCCTGAAAATTATTATATTTTAACTTACTGAACATCGGTATAAATACAAAACTTTTTGGCTGAATCGAGTTGAACTCAATTTAGCAGAAAAAAAAAAAGAACGAAATTCCCCGAAACTGTTTCGTACGAATTAGTACGTTTCTTCTATTTTGACTAGAAATTCTATATCCGTACTTAATTTATACATAATTACGGCTACTACATATAGGAATACTTAATTAATTATAATCGATACCCCTAAGATTTATATATATTAACTTTTACAGTAATATGGCAACGGCGGTGACGGTAATACTATTTTTCATTTATCCCCTAGATTCAACTAACGATATAAAAATAATTCACAAAATATGTAAAAAACGGAAACACAAACGAAAAATCTTTCTAGGATTAAAAAAGGAAAACGGTGAAATTTTGCCTTTTCCAACGGGAAATTCCTATCTTTTATAATTCGGATTAATTCGAAGATCTTTTTTTTTCTTTACATTGTAATTATTGTTCTACGATTCTTTGGTTCTTTTTGGTCGATCACTCTGTATTTCATTTTTATATTACAGCGGCGTTGGAATTGCAACTGCAATTATTCGAGAGGGGAAAAGAATGCTTCAATAAACCACACTACACACGATATAAAAGTGAATTATAGTTTTGTATTCTAAGAGAAGTTAGTTAAAAAAGTTGGATACCTTTGGTAAAGTCGCTTAATAAAATTAACACGTTTACTATTGTATCATGCATTTTCTAACCACAATTGCAATCCCAGTAGAGAGCAAGCTCCTTAGAAAAAACTGAATACGAAAATTGCGGTGTGCGTTAATATAAGAGGGAACATTTCACTTCGATATGGAATGTTTCAATCGTACCGATTTTAGAGCCAACTCGAAAACAAAAGTTTTCCTAACTTGTCCGAGAACGTAAACATAATTTTTAAAGTCAACTAAATTATCCGAAATATGGAAATTCAAGGATCCTAGTGTATTCACAGTGGAACCTCATCCTTTCATGATATAAAAACTTCAAAGGATGTCCTATATACAGAGGAGTCCCGCTATATGGCCCACTTGTAACGCTTTACAAATTGTCCATTTTACAACTTGTAAATTTTACAATCTCAAATTTGCATTTCAAATTATAACAATTTTTCCAATCTTCACGGCCATATAACGAGACTGCGCCGTACCGTATATGTACACTCGTGTAATTTTGTATTACTGTGCGATTATGTGCGTACAGTGAACGTGTGTTTCATGAATTGGAACAATATTACGGAAAGTAATCTTCGTCTTAAAAGTGCCTCCGTTAAAGAGACTTCGATTGAACAGAAATGTTCGAAATAGCCCGAATTAAAATTTCATGAGACCTTTGGGCGCTCTAAACTTGTCTGGTTCGTTCCATGAATCTTGGATTGCGTCGATTTTCAGATTTCTTCAGTCTTCCAATTTAAAGGGAGCTGAACTTAACAACCGTCGAATTTATCTTTAGAAAACATAAATGTAACAAGTAAAAATATAGCTCTTTATCGTTTTGTGCGTGACTGGTATGGCAATAAAACATATTGTACGTTAAATAAAGCTAATACGTTGAATGATATTATTATTAGTATAAGGAAAGGAAATATTGTAAATTGTCCGTATGATATTCCCAGGTAGAAAATTGATTGTGCAAAGTATTGTGATATGGCGAATTTTAATTGGTACATTCGGTTGAAACAAGTCTTAAAAATGGAAGAATAAAACAAATGGATTAAACTAGTAGAAGGCAGCGTTTTGTGCTAGATATGTGTGCTTTAATTCCATTCATCTTTTCTTTTTTCACTTCTCTCTCCATTGTTTCAAAATTTATTCACTCGAGTGTTACTTGGGAGTTATTTGAATAAAAATAACACAAGTTTTTCATCCCATGATGGTCCAATTTTCTACCTGGGTGAAGAGGTATCACGTTTCAATCTCTTCTCCTTAATTTATAATAAAACCAGAGGATCCGAGTGTGTTGTGTGATTGGTCTTTGTGCAATTCATTGCTGAACTTCAGAAAAGTCAACCATCGTGACCCTTTCGATTATTTTCCTTACTTAGAGGATCAAGTTTGTAATCCATTTCTTCTTCATCGAACAAAATACACATCAAATTTTCAGTTTGTTAAATTATAGGTTCAGTCCTGAAGCAACTTGAAACCATAGTTAAAACAAAAGCTGATTGTCATTGAATATTATTCTAATTCACTGAATCCAAATGGATGAGATTCTAGTGAGTTGTTCATAAACACGTTAATCGACAGGTTAATTCTATAAGTCACAACCAATTGAATCTTACGGATTAAATTCGTCGGATTATTTGAAAAGTGGAAACACCTCGATCAATATACAGCATACACATAGGATGTTTCTTTAATAATGAATCACTCTGAGAACCGAATTCGCCGCTTAAAATAATAAATGTGACTCGTTTCAGTTTGATCTCAATCTCCAGATATTTCTATTATTAACTATCAGAGCCGATTCCATTATAGTCGGATCTCTAAAAGTTTTAGGATTTCTTAAATGTCCAGCAGATGGACACAGTGACATAACCTATAAACTTCAGCTTGTGAATCCTGCAAATTAGATCAAACATGGATCTATTATAGATTCTGTACGAGTATTTATTTCTAAGCTTTAAATTCTTCTTTGAGTGAGTTGCAATATGTTGACAAACATCCTTGCTGTCCACAACTGAAACTCAGATTTCACTATTTCTGTAATTCTGCAAGTATTGAGTTCCACTTAGTTCTCACTTAAGGGAAAAATCGAAAGGGTTGCACGTAAGGGTGATAAAAAAAAGAAGAAAAAGAACCAAGAAAGTCCGCAGGTGGTCGGTAGTAGTAGCTAGCGGTGGTACATAGGTGTATATCTTGCTCTCTCTCTTTCGCTCACTATCTTTCACTCTGTCTCTCCCCCTCTGGCACTCTTTCTCGCAGTCTCTCGTTCTCACACGCTCCCTCGCTCTCGCAATACATGCCTGTCGTGTTCATATGTGTGAGTGTGAGTGTGAATGTGTGTCGGTCGATCGGCTCCGCGACGGGAATATTTATTCTAATAGAGACCGCAGCCACGAAGATTATTGGCGATAATGACATCTGTGACTGCGTCGAACACGAATTGAATGTTGTTTGTATCAGTGGCGCAAGTCATGTGGCAGTAGATCTCTTTAGTGGTTGACTTGTTCTTCGCTTCGAACTGCGCCTGGATGTATGCGGCGGCCTCACCGTATTCTTGCGCCCCTGTTTAACATATTTTCTTACATTACTACATCTTCATATTTAGTTATACTTCATATTTACTTAACATATTATATAAAATCATTTAACATATTACTAAATCATTTAATTAAACTTCATATTTACTTAACATATTTAGTCACATTACTAAATCTTCACCTTTTAATGTGAACATATTTGAATATAACAACAGTTCAATGTATACAAGTTTGAATATAACACAATTTCAATGTGGATGTCATTGAGGGTAGTATATGTATGAATGTTTTAATTCAAGCATGTCACCCTACATATTAATATGGAACTCTATGCCAACACATGAGATGATTTTGTAAATCAGACTCGTAGCAGGCTCTCCTTGATTAACTATAAGGAACTTGACCACTTGCCCTTAATTAGGAATATGGAACTAGAAGATGTAAATCAGGCTACGCTATAGCTTATGTGAACTAATTCTTTTGATGTAGTAATTCTGGATAAAAATAAGTATGAGTGAACGTAACCCAATTGCTTTTAATCTTAAGGAAGAGTTCAATGAAGAACCTGTTATGAAGTGCAAATAGACTAAATAGTGATGTAAAAAAGTAGATAACAATGAATAGAAGATAACAACAGAATAATTTGAAGGGACAAAGTGAGTGAAATTTAAACAACGACTAGGATAGAAGCTGAATGCAATCTCAAGAAAGAGTTCAATGAAGAACCTACCATAAAATGCAAGTAGACTAAATACTAATGTGAAAAGCTAGATAACAATGAGTAGAATAACAAAATGAACAGAGTAACAATGAATAGAATAATAATATAAGCAGAATAACAATGAACAGAAGATAAATAATAGAACAATTTGAGGAGACAAAATGAGTGAAATTTAAACAATGACCAGCATAGAAGCTGGATACATGACACGCGATGAGCAATACGCATTTAGATCATGGTGTATCTCAAACAAGAGGTAGTTTTCTTGTGGGTCGTGAAGGAATTCCAAGGACGGCAACAGACTACGAACTTTTTATAACAATGAGAACTTTCCGCGTCTATTTTTACCCCGTAACTTTCGATCGTTATTAACAGATGACGCTTCCAATTTACCGTGGCTCGTTATTTAAAGATTCGATAGTTTGAATTCTGTTCGTGGTTGAACAAATATACGAAAGATGAATGATAGTTCATTGAGTTCCATCCTAAATTAACGTGACTGAATGGAGCATTCTCCATGAAATTATTGTATGGTTTTCTATGACAAATTGTGAAATTATAAATTTTGGGAAATGAACTATCGAAATCTTTTACAGTTTCCAAATTTTCTTTTTAATGGATTTTCAAGTGATTTCGTTTTTTCAAAAACAGTTTGGTTTTTTGAGGACTCGATTCTTACCAGCATACTCAGGGAAACAAATAGTGAGCGGAGACTTGCGAATTTTCTCCTCGAAAAGATCCTTCTTGTTCAGGAAGAGGATGATGGCGGTATCGGTGAACCATTTGTTATTGCAAATTGAGTCGAACAGTTTCAAGCTCTCTTGCATTCGATTCTGTAACAAACACACTAAAATTAGTATTGTAGAAAACTTAGAAACTTAAAGAAGAATGTAAAATTTAAAAATCAAATCCCTCCGGGTGAAAAGGAAAGAGAATGAGTAAATCGTTGTTCAGTGAAGAATGCGAGGGGTTAATCGATGAGGTCGTTCTACCGAGAGAACTCGTTAATTTTCAACAATTGCAGTCTGTCATGTTTCCTTCCCACGTATTATCCACTTGGCTCTGTACAATGATAAATAAATAATTGAACAGAAAATTTTTGCAAACCAATTTAATCAAAATTAACCTTCTTATAATAATATTCATCGTAAGGTAATGAAAGTGAAACAGAGATTTCACTGGTTTCAATTACTATTGTCACGAGTGTCATTACCGTGACGGATCAAGTATCTTTACAAGAGGATTTAATTTAATATAATACGAGAACTATCCGGTTTTAATTGTATTCAGAGCTTGTGGTATAGTGAGGTCGTAAATTACAGTGTTATATTTTTGTCAGTTTTAATAGGGGAAATTATTTCGGTGAATTAAGAACTGTAGGAAGAGTATTTTTTAAATTAGGAAATTGGGAAATTAGAAGGTGGGAAATGAGGGAGGTGGGAAATTAGAAGGTGGGGCATTGGAAGGTGTGAAATTAGCAAGTTGGGGCATTGGAAAGTGGGAAATTAGCAAGTTGGGGCATTGGAAGGTGGGGAATTGGAAATTTGGAAAATTAGAAAGTTGGGAAATTAGGAGATTTGAAAATTAGCAAGTTGGGACAATGGAAGGTGGGAAATTAGCAAGTTGGGGCATTGGAAGGTGGGAAATTAGCAAGTTGGGGCATTGGAAGGTGGGGAATTGGAAATTTGGAAAATTAGAAAGTTGGGAAATTAGCAAGTTGGGGCATTGGAAGGTGGGGAATTAGAAAGTTGGAAAATTAGAAGATTGGGAAATTAGACAGTTGGGAAATTAGGAGATTTGGAAATTAGAAAGTTGGGGCATTGGAAAGTTGGAAAATTAGGAGATTTGGAAATTAGAAAGTTGGGAAATTAGGAAATTTGGAAATTAGCAAGTTGGGAAATTAGGAGATTTGGAAATTAACAAGTTGGGGCATTGAAAGGTGGAAAATTAGGAAGTTGGGGTACTGGAAGGTGGGAAATTAGGAAGCTGGGAAATTAGAAGGTGGGGAATTGGAAAGTTGGGAAATTAGGAGATTTGGAAATTAGAAAGTTGGGAAATTAGGAGATTTCTAAATTAGAAAGTTGGGAAATTAGAATATTTGGAAATTAGCAAGTTGGGAAATTAGGAGATTTGTAAATTAGAAAGCTGGGAAATTAGAAGGTGGAAAATTCAAAAGTTAGAAAATTAATCAATTGGGAAATTACAAAGTCAGGAAATTACAAATCTGAGAATCAGGAATATTTCTAAACACTTCAATGCTTACCGTCGTTTCATCTTCGTGCAGAACTTGATCGTATTCGGACATCGCAACGCAAAATATAATCGCGGTGACGTCCTCGAAGCAGTGAATCCATTTTTTACGCTCGCTTCTCTGACCACCCACGTCGAACAATCTGCGAAACAATACGAAAGTTCGAAATTTGAAAACTTGAAATGCACGGTAAGTTCTTCGGTGGCCACTTGATCTGCCCATCACCGCTCTACAGTGATTAATATCTTGAGTTCTCGCTGACAGAACTAATGGATGTTCTCTGAATAGAAATGATTTATTTCAGGCTACGTGCTGAGTTGATTCGCTACGAGCACTCAATCTCATTCATAATTTGCGATTTAACAATGAGAGAATTATCAAAGTGCACTACTGTAGTTTCGTACAATTAATTTAGTTTAAGGGCCATTAACTTGGACACATTAACATAATTTCATCATTTAATGATATAATTTTTAAGAACAAAAGTAATGTTACTAAAACTATTTTTGTAACATCTTTTACTAAAATATTTATTGTACATTACTATATTTATTTACAACACATATGCACGATATACGTTTATAATGTAATGATTAATAATGTACACTTAATGAAAGAATGAATAAAGAAACAGGTGATCAAATTTTCTACAATCTTTGTTGTCTACATATTTCGTTACAGGATGTTAACACGAAACCATATCACTGGAGTGCAAGATAAAATGAAAATGGAAAACAGTTTCCCGTCGAGATATCCTAATGTGTCTGAAACGATAAAGTTTGATAAAATCACACCTGCATTTGATTCTTTCGTATCTGTCCTTTCCGACAAAATTCAAGATTTCTTTAAAATACTTCATTCAAGATAGTTCAAATTATCGAGGTGAACAAGTGATGGTCGTTGACCAAAAATTTAATATAAATTCCTCTGAAGAAATTATAAATTAACATAAACTAATAGAAATTTTCGTGACGCACTAGGTGCGTCACTGGTTAACAGGAGTGTACACCGTGTGTCAATGATTGACGACGCACCTGTTGCGTCATTAGTTTAAAGTGAATTGAACTTAATGTAAATGTTCGAGACGCACCCGGTGCGTCACTGGTTTTATCAATAGCCAAATCAAGTCTGCATTAAAAGAGACTCGAGAATGTACACCGTGTGTCAATGATTGACGACGCACCTGTTGCGTCATTAGTTTAAAGTGAATTGAACTTAATGTAAATGTTCGAGACGCACCCGGTGCGTCACTGGTTTTATCAATAGCCAAATCAAGTCTGCATTAAAAGAGACTCGAGAATGTACACCGTGTGTCAATGATTGACGACGCACCTGTTGCGTCATTAGTTTAAAGTGAATTGAACTTAATGTAAATGTTCGAGACGCACCCGGTGCGTCACTGGTTTTATCAATAGCCAAATCAAGTCTGCATTAAAAGAGACTCGAGTATGTACAGCGTGTGTCAATGATTGACGACGCACCTGTTGCGTCATTAGTTTAAAGTGAATTGAACTTAATGTAAATGTTCGAGACGCACCCGGTGCGTCACTGGTTTTATCAATAGCCAAATCAAGTCTGCATTAAAAGAGACTCGAGAATGTACAGTGTGTGTCAATGATTGACGACGCACCTGTTGCGTCATTAGTTTAAAGTGAATTGAACTTAATGTAAATGTTCGAGACGCACCCGGTGCGTCACTGGTTTTATCAATAGCCAAATCAAGTCTGCATTAAAAGAGACTCGAGTATGTACAGCGTGTGTCAATGATTGACGACGCACCTGTTGCGTCATTAGTTTAAAGTGAATTGAACTTAATGTAAATGTTCGAGACGCACCCGGTGCGTCACTAGTCTTATCAATAGCCAAATCAAGTTTGCATTAAAAGAGACTCGAGAATGTACACCGTGTGTCAATGATTGACGACGCACCTGTTGCGTCATTAGTTTAAAGTGAATTGAACTATACATAAAATAAATTTGAACTTACTTGAAATTAAGATTCTTGAAGGAAAAGTGGACTTCGACTATGCCCGTTGTTTTAACACGAGTCCTTAAAATATCTTGCTCCGTAGGCTGATAATCCCTTGCTCCTAATCGCTCTAGATCGTCCAGGAAACTGAAATTTCAAACGGACATGAAATTTAATCGTTCGTTTAACTACCAACGTGGGAATGAGAAGAGTTACTATTTTTGCAACATCCTAGGTAATTTTAAAATTATCGTCCTAAACAGTTAAGTGAAAAATTATAAAATTCCCTTCAAAATAATAATTTTATTCGTGTATATATAATTATCCTTTCCTTCTTTAATTTTATTTAATGTCGTTCGATACAATATTTTAACAAGCAGAATATTTTGCAAGTTTTGTTTATTAAATATTTGAGGAGGTAGCTTTAGTACACCCGGTAGACAAAGTATCTAGGGACACAGAAGGTAAATGACATTTTAGATTGAGTCGTTAATCAAGGCCGGTATATCGATCTTCCACTCGTGATTCGCCATTCATTGCCAAAGTTGCATGCACCTGTAGCTGCCACACACTTGTCTTATCGCAATGCGTGGGTTTTACTCTTCACTCCATATAGATTACAAAACAATCGTTAACGGGTGAGACAACAATACTCGATCCAAAAAAATATTAACTAATATTCTTTTTACATGTTCTACAATCAGTTCATTAAAGCGATTGTTTCTAGGACACCCTGTAGAACCCACGATGCACATGCAATATGTGCAGATTATATCGACTTCAGATTTGCAAACATCTTCGTTATCGATAATTGCAAACACAGATAAGCAATCACCGGAAATCAAATTTCACGTTTCTCAGAAATTTCTTACGGCCACGAGGCACACCCTTTACGTGTGAACTGTAGCTTGCCTTTATCACCAGTTGCTTCCCGAAAGCGTCGTATATCATACGCTTCTCAGTTTCCGATTGTTCTTTATTCTGGTCAAATATATCGGGTGACTCAGTGTACTCGATTATTTTAAACTCAAAGAAACTCGTAAAATTATGAAGATACATGAGGTAATATTACCGGGTTGGGTCTGAACGTGTTAAAAATTCCTTACAAACTTATGCAAGCTCAAAGTTATCTGTGATTATTTGTCTCAATATAAAAATAAAATTGAGTATCGTAAAATTTATGAAAATAAAGATCTGTTTGCATGAGGTAATATTACCATACTGGGTCTGAACGCGTTAAAAATTCCTTACAAACTTATATGAACGCAAAGTTATCTATAATTATTTGCTTCGATATAAAAATAAAATTGAATATCCTAAAATTCGCAATGATTATAAAGATCTGTTTGCATGAGGTAATATTACCCTATTGGGTCTGAACGCGTTAAAAATTCCTTACAAACTTATGTGAACGCAGTTATCTATAATCATTTGCTTCGATATAAAAATAAAATTGAATATCCTAAAATTCGCAAAGATTATAAAGATCTGTTTGCATGAGGTAATATTACCATATTGGTTCCGAACGCGTTAAACGTTCCTTACGCAAGAAATTTGTTAAAATAAAATAATAATTACTTCTACCATTACGAACAATTGCCTACCCTTATTTCCCAATACCATAAAATGTGAACAATTAAAACAATTCAATAATAATTACAAGAACACAAGAAGTTAAAATCATGTTTTTTTGAAAAAAAGATCCCCAGTGAATCTGTCAGAATTTCCGCTCTTAATTTCGCTACTTCAGGCACTTCTGAGACCCACTTCCTTTCTCTTGCTAATTATAAAGTGTCCAATTATTAAGAATTTCCCAACGAGCGGGGTTTTCTTTCCATTATCCCTACCGGTTTCTCTCAACCCTCCTGTGTATCCCTATATTTTGTTGTTCTTCTCGGCGTACCGAAAAAGCGTTAACAGAATGAAAAAAAAGAAACAATTGGGGGTTAGAGTAGGGTGAAAACGAGCGAGCTGGTGGGGGGTCCGTGTCGGCAGCCATTTTAGGCCACGTGACAGGGGCGTGGCGTGACGTCATCGCCGATCAATACGCGGCTAAACCTAAATAAGAGAAAAGGAAACCGGGGGAAAACCGGGAAGGAATGCTCAAAATCCCTGGAAATTCTGCTATCCCTCTTTTCTCTCCCTGTTTTGTCGTCTGTACGCGCCGTTTAATTAAATTAGACCGAGTTAGGTTAGGTTAGGTTAACTTTCACGAAATAATTAAATTCGTCAAGTCTTAAGAAACCGGTCTCTTTGAACTTGTACAACTTTGTAAGTTATTTGCTACGTTTGTAAGTTATAGTTTTGGATATTTTATGCATGAAAGCTGAAGGTAAATTGTAAATATTTGGGTACAATTAATTTCTTAGCAGACCTTGGCCACTGAATATGAATGAAGGTTCGAAAGGTCGAGTTTCTATTAGATTTGGAGCTATTCCAAATTCGGCGAAGGAGCCAAGGGCTTTGGCAGCTCTCTTCTGGGTTAAGTTTATTTGTAAATATTCTGTATATAATAAATCGTGTCAACGACCGTATCTTCGAAGAATTCTTAATTATAATATTTTTTAATGTAATTATAAATAATAAAATCAATAACCAGCAACGAATGACACTAAGGAAGTTGGGAAATTAGGAAGTTGGGAAATTAGAAGGTGCGAAATTAGGAAACTGGGAAATTAGAAGGTGTAAAAGTAGGAAGCTGGGAAATTAGGAAGCTGGGAAATTAGAAAGATGGGAAATTAGGAAGCAGGCAAATTAGAAAGTTGGGAAACTAGAAAGATGGGAAATTAGAAAGCTGGGAAATTAAAAAGATGGGAAATTAGGAAGATGGAAAATTAGGAAGCAGGCAAACTAGAAAGTTGAGAAACTACAAAGATGGGAAATTAGAAAGTTAGGAAATTAGAAAGTTGGGAAATTAGAAAGATGGGAAATTAGGAAGATGGGAAATTAGAAAGTTGAGAAACTAGAAAAATGGGAAATTAGAAAGATGGGAAATTAGGAAGATGGGAAATTAGAAAGTTGGAAAATTAGAAAGTTGGGAAATTAGGAAGTTAGGGAATTAGAAACTTGGGAAATTAAGAAATTAGGGAATTAGAAAGTTGGGAAATTAGAAAGATGGAAAATTATGAAGTAAGGGAATTAGAAACTTGGAAAATAAAGAAAGTAGGGAATCACGAAATTAATAAGTTGAAAAATTAGGAAATTAAGAAGACATAAAGACTTGAAAAATTATAAATTTCAAGACAGCCCCATTTTAAACTCTGCAACTATAAAATACATCTGAAATAAAAATATTGCCTTTAAATAAAAATTTCGTTAACCGTAAACTGACCACCCGCGACGTTCAAGGGTAGAGCTGTTTTTCAGAATTTTGGCAAACGAGTTGCTTGAAGATTTTGAAACAGAAAAAGTACGAGGCTGCTTGAAGGTGAAAATGACAGATCGATTTCTTTAGAAGTTTAATGAGACCTGATGTTTGGATTGCCTTCCAGCTAGACGATCTTTCGAGACATTTCATCGAGAAGAAAGTGTCTTTGCGGAGATTTACAAAATTTATTTTCCGACTACGTCCATGGTTACAGTTTACTGTTATAGTAGGTGGAGCTCATAGATCGTAGGAGTTTGTGATAAAATCTTGATATGACTTACTATTTTGCAGAGTCGTTGAGCTGGTACTCGTTGCTCCTTCCAAAGCATTCCTGAACACCATTGTCAGACCAGAGCCTCTTCATTGCGACTAAAAGTTCCTCGCTAAATGGTTCCGTGTCCTCCATTCTTTGAATCACGTCGAACACCATTTTTGCGTCCGTCTGGAACAATAATTTTCGATACATTTATAGTTTATTAATGGTGGCATGATTTTCTTTGGTGTGTTCTTGGTTCAGATGAAATTATTTGGAAATTAAGAAGTTGGGAAACTAGAAGGTGGGAAATCAGGAAGTTGGGAAATTAGGAAATTGGGGAATTAGAAGATGGGGAATTAGGAAGTTGGGAAACTAGAAGGTGGAAAATTAGGAATTTGGAAAACTAGAAGGTGGAAAATTAGGAAATTGGGGACTTAGAAGATGGGAAATTAGAAGGTGGGGAATTGGAAAGTTGGGAAATTAGGAAGTTGGGAAATTAGAAGGCGGGAATTGGAAAGTTGGAAAATTAGAAGGTGGGGAATTAGGAAGTTGGGAAATTAGAAGGTGGGGAATTAGGAAGTTGGGAAATTAGAAGGTGGGGAATTGGGAAGGTGGGGAATTAGAAAGTTGGGAAATTGGAAGGCGGGGAATTGGAAAGTTGGGAAATTGGAAGGCGGGGAATTGGAAAGTTGGAAAATTAGAAGGTGGGGAATTAGGAAGTTGGGAAATTAGAAGGTGGGGAATTGGAAAGTTGGGAAATTAGAAGGTGAGAAATTAGAAAGTGGGAAATTACTTTACACTGTGCGTAAGGCACCAAAAATTCTCCCATACTATCAACGACACACAAAACTTACATCTAGCTGTGCCTACCGCCCTAGTTAACCCAAACCCTACAATTCTGCAATTATGAATAATTTTTTGACACAATAATGTTCCTAGAGTATAAGAAATCTCAAGCAGTGATTCCTTTAATTAATTCTAACAAAGCCTCAAGTTTTTAAATTATATGTACTTTATGATATTAGAGAAGAAATTAAGCCTTTCTTATGAGACGTGATAGCCATTGAAGCTCTCGATAAGAATACCCAGTGGACAATAAAGGATGGAAGTATTAAATCTCAGTGTATTAAAGGTCTTTCAAATTTCTGTAGCAAAAGAAAGATTATTACACATTAATTTCAACTTGAAAGATTTATCTGTATGCTTGTAACGAAACTAATTACGAAATGTACAAGAAATGTACGATGTTAGAATTGTGAGGGTACTAAACTTGAGAAGGTTCTAAAGGAAATATTTCTTAAGTTGTTTTAGTGTGCTTAAAAGTGAACTGTCACGGCGCACCAAAAATTATTGATAAGCCATGCAGTGAAGCGATCGATGAGTATCTCTGAAGACAATTTCTGAAGCACCCTCATCGGTATATTTACCGATCGTGGCTTCATCGTTTACCTTAGAACCAATAACGAGCCCCTGTCTTGAAAACAACGAACACAAGGGGTTGCCTCGAGTGTTGATTGATCCGAGTTCTTGAATCAGTGTCTCTCAATCCGATCACTGTTTCCGAATATTTTTTATCGGGAATGGCGCATCGATAATAATAAAGCAAATTGCGTAACATGTGACTTGTTATTTGGGATGGGAAGTTAAGTCGAAAATGGGGGGGTTTTGAAATTTCTAATTTTTTAAGTTCACGTCTTCCTAATTTCCTAATTTCCCAATTCTGTAATTTCCTAACTTCCTAGTTTCATAACTTCCTAATTTCCTAATTGTGCAATTTCCCAACTTCCTAATTTTCCACCTTCTAATTTCCCAAATTTCCAATTTCCCAACTTCTTAATTTCCCACCTTCTAATGCCCCAACTTCCTAGTTTCCCACCTTCCAAT